ACAAAAATAGCCCTCTCCAGCTATTTTAGGCTTGCTTAGATGCTGCAAAAGATAAAGATTGAAGAAGGCCCAAGTGGCAGTGGTTGCACTGGCAAGAGCCGATGTTCATGGCTGTCTTACCCGTGGCTGCCTCACCCAGCAATGACACTTTTGACAGCCCAGGCCGCGTTTAGCAGCTTTCTTCCAACAACAGAGCCCGGTGGTCCCAGTTGATCGTGCAGTTCAGTGCGTCTCACGCACTTCGTTCGTTTTCGGCCTCATGTTCTGCGTGTGAAACTCACAGATGCAACTAGAACGATGTTTTACCCTAGGGCTCCTGGCCCATCTGCTCAGAAGGTGGTTAGACCCCCCAACCCCACCCCAACTATTTTCTCAGGCTCTGGTTCTTTGAGTTCTGGTTCTTCCAAGATGTTCCTAGACATTTGACCGTCGATGTCCGAGAATTCCACATCCCAGGTTCCACGGTTCCACATGGACGTCGAAGACGCAACATCCAACATGGGGAAAACATCACCTAGGACCAGACTCTTGGCACCGACACATGTGACATGTGACACATGTGACATGAATGGTGCTCGATCCCCGAAGTAGATTGGGTCGTACGTCGAATGGAAACCCCTGCTGCACCTGGACCCCGACCGACTCGAGCCGGACGGCCCGACCGAGACCGAGACCGCGGAACGCGTGAGACCGCCCAGTGGTTGAGACCTCTCGGGGCCGGTGGCTTCACAAGAATGTCTACCAGCACCGAAACCAACAGGTCTCCTAATGTGGAGGGTTGGGTGTTCGGCCCGTGCCCAGGTTTCAATTGGTGACCGGTGAAGTCGGTGCTGGTATGTGTTTGTGCTTATTTGTTGCGTTCTTCTTGTTTGTTTTCGGAGTTGGTCCAGAAGATGTTCCACATCTTCTTGAAGAGATGTAGATCTTCCACTCTAGGTGCACCTGCACCTCGCTCGCGAACTCGCTGCGCTTGCTCCATATCAGATCGCGTAGCTGGACTGACCATGACAGCGAGGACGAACTCGCCAGGCCCAAAGAGACCCCACAGAGCACGCAGTATGGCACCGAGCCACAGTTCGTGTTGGGCAGCCCGGACGGAAAACGTGGCCTGGACGGGGAGGACAGCCATACTTTGGATGGTCCAAAGACATCCAAAGACTGCTCATGATGGGTTTGGACATGGATCCCATCCAGGACCCTTAAGGGGTGTCTAATTATAGCTCCTTAGAGGTTAAAGAGTGTCCATATCCCACCCCTTGTGGGTCCTGGTTCTTGACCTTCAATTGACTCTTGCTAGATGTGCCGGTGTGGAGATGTCTGACAGAAAACTCTAGATGGTTCAAGGGGAATTGCTTCGTGCGTTGGTGGCCACTGCATCAGTGTCCACGAATGCCAGCTGTCCTCACCTTAACTCGGGTTTCAGGACGCCCTGTGTGTGGCTGAAGGGAGATTGGTGGAATAGGATTATCTCCGCAAATCCACTCCTCAGCACCAAGGAACCACTTCTTTCAAGCTGAGAACCGGAAAAGCAATTGTTGAAGCTAAGCAACTTAAGGTTATTGCTTGAGCTATGGACCTTATATCAATCTCGATTGATGTACTCTCATGTGCTATCATGTTTTTCGTCTTTCCTATGAATGCCCGCTGCCCTGAGGCCATCGGATGGAGTCCTATCATCTCGACCGGATGACAGGACCAGCATCATCGCGAGACGCCGGAGCCGTCAACCTCTGATTGCTGCAGAGCCGTACGCATCGACACGCATAGCTGGCTCCAGACACAACTCTGACCGACAGCTACCTCCTGGTTTCATGGATCAGGTGAGTGTTTCATCTACTCGTATACCAGCACCGAAACCAACAGGTCTCTTCTGGAGGCTTTTGCAGAAAAAGTCGCAGGTGGTGACCTGTTGGAAGGTCCTGGTAGGGAATATGAGTGTGTTTTTTCCACCATCCTCAAGCAAATCCCATGTGTCAACGTATGTTAACGTCCTTTTTTTGTTATCCAGCTAAAGGGAGGGCAACGTACACCCCAGACGCGACCTGTTTGGGACTGGCATATATTTGCATACAGGGTGCTTGAAAAGAGGTCAACATGAAGACAGAAGACATATAATATGGAATGCCTGGGAGATTCGTTGATCGCAGCGGGATCTCCAATTTGGATGGTCTATGAATTCTTCCTCTTCGGCAGACATTTGTCGAAGGACGATCTCGGACGTTCTGGCTTTCCTGGTTCCATTGATTTTGCTCTTCCTGACGCAGGCGAGCTGTGGGTGTGGGTCCGGAACGGCCAGATTGCCCACAAAAAGGAATAGTTAGCAAATCATGGCTACAAATATAGGGTTCTATATCTGGTTCTACATCATGTCATCAAGTCTTAAGCAATCGGGGTTGGATTGCACAGCTTTGTTCATGCCTGGATCGCTCTCTCCACGCAGCTCTGGCGGTCCGAAGTCTGGTCTGGGAGTGGCAGGTTGACCGACGACCCCTGGAATCAGCCAGCCCAACTGATTGGTCAATATTCCCATATCTTAATGTAGACTCTTGAGGACCATACACCCCCCAGGATCTAAGAGGATCTCACCTTTTCCCATCTAGCTGCTAGTGGCCCTCGGGGCTTTGGGGTTCTCATCCTGCTGAAGTGGTGGAAGCCACCGGCAGAGTCTCACTGCACTGTGAGCGCGAGAGGTAGAAGAGGATTTTCAATTCAAATGGTGGGGTTCCTCAATCAAGAGTCTAATGTAAAATAAATATTCCAATATACCAGGACCATCCTGTTTGGATGCCCTGTTTGGAGATCCCGGGGTCGTAGTGCAGAGTAGTCCAGCCCGAACTCCCTGGAACTCACCTGGGCCAACGTGGATGGCATTGCCAGGGTCTGTCCTATTACCTGTCACAGTCAGTAAACATGTATCATCATTTAACAAGGCCTGTACTTAAGTAACCATCATCATCCGCTGGCAACCAGGTATTAGGATAGACCCAAACCATTGCCCTAACAGAAAGACCGTGAAAGGTCCTCTACCACACAAGGGGGTGTCATCCACCGTCACCATGTGACCTCCAGCCGTTGAAGGCGCGGCCCGCTCGACCGCGCGGCGCTCCAGGCAGACGATCGGGTCGTCACGATGCTGGCGGACACGGGACTTCCAGGTACGGCAGAGCGGTTCCTGTGGGGGAAGAGCAGCGTGGGGTGCGCCGCCCTGGGGAGCGTGGATCATCCGTTCATGTCATGACGATTAGGATGGATGTTCAGGTACTTCAGCTGTTTTCTTACGAGCAAATGGCGAGAAATGACCATGGATATGGACCATGCATCCCTCCTGAATCACCGTGAAACTTTCAGCATTCCATCCTCTCACGCGAGACCCAATGCGAGACCCAAACACCACACGCCAACAACACGGCGCGCTCTGATTTCCAAGCGCAAGGTGCAGATGCCATTTGTGGCGCCTTACTGGGGCTCTTCTTTCCTGTTGTGATTGCTGTCTGGGCACCCAGTTGATGCATGCAGGCTGAAGCCAGTGAGCGTTTGGGTCTAGTCTAGTGTTGTGATTATATGCAATTATCCCTGTCTTCATTTGCTGTATATTGTGGGTTCCAAATGTGTACATCTCAGGTTGCCGAGCATTTTCCGTTCAGAATTTGACCACGCTCCAGCGTGACACAGTCTGAAGTCATGTTGAATTTCGATTGTATCCCGCTTGTTGGATCTTCTATCAGTGAGGTCCTAGTTGATGGAGTCATGATTTCTTCTTGAGCAGAACTTGAGGGGGGCATTCTTGGGCTTGGGTGGCGAAGGATATGTCACGGCACTATCCCGTTTGGGCTCCTGGCCCACCTCCTGAGAAGATAGTTGGGGTCTAAGCACCGAACCTGAGGAGCCCCATCGGCATAGGTCATTTGTATGTTACTGGCTGTTGCTTCAAGGGGCCAGGAGCCGAGACATGAAACAGTTCTTACCAAACAGGGAGCTGTTCGCAACCGGAGTTCCCCAACCCCCGATCCAGCTAGATATAGGGTTTTACAATCCAGCTATAGTGGGTTGAGAGTAGATGGCACAAGTTACCCCCGATGTCGGTGGTTTTAGATGGACCGGCCCCTATATATAAAAAAGACATTTTGGGGTGCGTGCCATCTATACTCTCAATCCACTGTAGATGAGTCATATACTTTCTACAACACCTGCTCGGTCTGGGTGGTGCCATGGTCAAGAACTCGCTGCGATGTCCTCAGGCCTTCTTGGGCATCTTCATGGAAGGAAGTCTGATCGACTCGAGGCGCAGACCTGGTTCGACGGTTTCCGGCATTCCCGAAGGAGACGAGAGGAAGGTGCGACGCGACCCCGGGTCTTGGGGCTGCAAGAACAGCTGCTGCGAGAGGGTTGGCCAAAGGTTGGACCACGCAGGCGAGGACAACGAACATGAAAGTGAACAAACTACCAGCTGTTTGGGTCTTCGGAAAAGGGTCATCCAAACTCGGCCATGTTCCACTTCCAGCGATTTTCAGGGAGTGTACGGTACGTGAAACAAGCAGCGATGATTCGCAGCAGCGACAAATCTTTGCTTGGCTTGAATGTTCGAGCGGCAGGAAGGAATGGGCCTGGCCATGATTGAGTGATAATCCATACCCTAGGGATCCAAGTACATCCTCAAAAGGTACTTGGACCCTCCAAACCCACCCCAAGCACCCTCATAGGTGTTTTGTTGGTACGGAGTCTGCCGGGCTGCCTGGATTGCCTGGCTGTCTCAGTTGTCCGGACGGTCACTTGACGAACGAAGACCAACGATGAACGCCATGCCAAGGTTGGCAAAGAGTTTAAGATCGCCTTTCTTATTAAAGCATATTAAAGCAATTGGATGGATGAAACTAATGACAGCGATGTATAAAGTGGTCCAAACAACACAAAACTGTATATAAACGAGTTCATGACCAAACACAGTAACAGTATCATGTCAATGTCATATCCACAGTGCACACATACACTGACACCTGTAGAGCTACAACATGCATCAACATGCCATGACAGCGACCTTGTTCCACCATGGCCCGCTTTGGGCCCCGGGCGAGCTCGACGTTGGCTGCTTGGCAGCGGGTGTTGGGGGATGATGATGAGCCGGCTGCCAATGCCCGTGTGGCGTTGCAGCATCAAGTGTGGCAGGAGATGGTGGCGAAGACGAGTACCGAAGCCTTTCAGGACCCGGACTTCCGGCCTGGGCCACGGGCCATCGATGGCCGCCGGGAGGAGGTCTCGAGCAGCGGCGATTTCTTCAAAGCGACCATGAGCGAGGTCCTTCGCAAGGTGGCCCCACAGGATGGTAAAGACGTGGTCTTGTGCCATTGTGGTTTGGTTTGCGAGGTGCGGCATGTGCAAAAGAAAGGTCCCACTCAGGGCCGACTGTACCATACATGTCCATCGAGGCAGTGTCGTTTTTTTGAGTTTGCAGATCAAGGCTCCACACGAGCAGCCTTAGAGCTGCAGTGGCGACGCTTTGCGGCCACAGGAGACTGGAAGGTGGTTTGCGATGAGGGTTTCTTGCTTTTTGCTCAGTCTTAGGGTGATGTGTGGTTTTCCCAAAAGTGTAGGGTGAATCCCAGACACTCCATGTATGCCATATATGCTTACATTGGGGTGGTTTGGGGGGTCAATGTAGGCATATATGGCATATATGGAGTGTCTGGGAATCCCCAAAATCTGGGGAAGATGTTGGTTTTCCCATGTCTTCTCGAACTCATATGAATCTCCATGAATCTCCAAACTCTGGCGTTAATAAAGGAAACTTATAGGGATGGCCTCCACCCTAGTATGCGATGGCCTCCAACCCGCAATGTCATGCAATGGCCTACATACAAAAGCCTTTGTTCCGCTTCCTGAACTCCGTTTTGGCCACCAATTCTCGAGGTTTTCGCCCCTCCGATGTGCGACAGGGCGGTGTGGGGGACTGTTGGTTCATGAGCGCCTTGGCCGTTGTGGCAGAGCGTCACGATTTGATGCGGAAGCTGCTGCCCAACTTGAACGAGGGCGCGGAGAGCGGATGTCATGAAGTGCGACTCTTTTTGGATGGTCACCTGGACTTTTTGGCTTGGAATAACGTTTTATATCCCTATAGGGCTCCGAACGTCCCACCTCCTCAGGTGAGGTATGTTAGACCCCGCTGGCACCCAGCCCTGGCCCACTGAACCTGATACCCCTGGCCCTGAAGAACATCTGGTGATCGCACTTCGAGACCTTGGCAATGGGCGGGAGGAACATCGGATTGTTCCATTGGGTGGCTCCTGATGTGGTACTCCATCTGCAGAGCTCCACCTGGAACCCCCCACAATCACTGGGGTGGTGTAAAGATGGTCCAAACCATGGGTCAATTCTCAGGTTCCATGGGATCGTTTGAGGGGGTGTATGATTTTCCCTAGGGCTCCAGTCGTACCTCAGAAGGTATGACTGGACCCTTTAAACCCACCCCAAGCACCTTAGAAGGTACTTGGAGCCTCATGATGTCCAGGTCACTGGACTGCTCTGTTAGTGGATGATTGGCTTCCCACCACGGAGAAGCAACGGCGCCCCGATGGGACCTCCTTGGCCTATGCACGCTGTGCGCGACAACAGCTTTGGGTGTCGTTCATCGAAAAGGCCTATGCCAAGGCGCATGGCGCCTATCGCTTCATCAGTGGAGGCGAGGCTGCATGCTTCTGCAAAAAACGCTCAACGAAACAGTTGGTTCAAAGACATAAGAACCAGCCAGCACCTTCCTTCCAAGGGGACTACCCTACCCTACTGGATCTCGTTTTGCAACTCCTTGTTGCGCGTTCAGGCTGGTCAAAGCGCCTTCCGTAGGGAGCAAACCATCAAACTCAAGGCGTCCAAGCTTCTCATCCATCGAAGCACGTGCTCCGAATCAGGAAAGGCTTTCAACCAACGCCTGGCCTCGGCCACCCCTGTGCCTCCCCTTCCAAGGTGAAACCTCTGAGGCTTTGTTGGAGCTCACCGGCGCACCGACGGAAGCCTGTATTTGCACTGCGGATCAGGTGATGTTTGTTCTTTTCCCGAAACTGGGCGAACTCACCCCGAAACTGGTGGAGAATAGGTTTACCGGTTTACCCTGCTTTCTAGGAGCAGCAAATCCAAGGAAGTGGTGAATTTTCAAGATCCCACTTTTGATCCGGAGCTCTTCTGGGCACGCTTGGTCTCCCTGCTGCAGGTGGGCTGTCCGATCGGCTGCGGGACCAGCGCGTTGACGTTGGAGGAGCTTGGCTTGGTGGGACAGCACGCCTATTCAGTCCTGGCTGCAGAAGATGGGGAAGGCCTGGATAGCCTAGATGGACTCGGTGGCCTGTCCAGCCTGGACTATAGTGAGAGGGTTACATCCCGACATGTGAAGGTACGTAACCCCTGGGGTGAGTGGACGCGGAGAGAACAGGATGAATTGCTCGCACAGCTGGGTGTGGCCATCATCCCAAGTGATGGATGTTTCTGGATGAATTACCAGGACTTCATCCGTGGCTTTGCCTGTTGTGACATTTGCTACGCTCGCGATGGCTGGCATGGCCGCAGCTTTGACTTGGCTTTCGATACTACGCAAGTCGGCTCGCGAAGTGTGTTGAGGCTGAAAGCGCCGTGTAGCGGGGAGTGTTGGATCATGGGAATCCAGCCCACTGAACGTGGGAAGCAGATCAAGAGACCTCCAGGATACTACCTCAATGACCTCTCCTTGCTGATCCTAGATGACTCGGCAGAAGTCGTGGCGAGCTTTCTGGGTGGAGCACGCAGGGATGTGTCTTGCAGTGTGATGATGGAAGCAGGCCTAGGGCCTAAGGGGCAGGACGTACACTCCGACTCGCTAACATGGAAGTGGAAAACCACCTGTTTGTAAAGGAAAAGGATCTTCCAAGGGATTTTTTGAGGTGGCTTTGGAGGGCATGGAGGATGTTTGTCAACTGTTTTTGAGCATGTTCCCTTGAGCAATTGGCCAATTTGTCTCCCCAACTGAGGTCCTTTTGAAAGAGTCAGGGCCCCACATTTCAAACATATCAGTCTATAGTCTAGTCGCCTCTGCCCATTCGTTTTTTCGCGACCAACCCACCGGCGCCTGGCGAGAAAGACGCGCCAGGTCGAGAATATGTGGCCATTCCCCTCAGCTTCCGTGCCACGAAAAGGGGGCCTTTCGTGCTCCGCGTCTATGCTGCCTCGCCCGTGGAAGCGCTCCTAGAAGCACCATCCCCCGAGCTCACCTGGCATGCCATGCACTCCTTGCTAATGGCACCAAAGCCCAAGACACAGAAACCCTTCCAACGGATGGCATATGACTTTGGGGCCGGGCAAGTGGTTGTCATAGAAGCTGATTTTATGGCCCTTGGCCTGGTGGTGAACAGAAATCCTTTCTGTTTGGAGGTGGACTTCCATGCCGCTGGCAACCATACTGTGCTAAGAAGCCAAAGCGGCTTGTTGGACGGTCGAGAGGACCAGCAGCGCAACCAACGGCATCAGGCAGCTGAAGCCAAAGCAAAAGCGAAGATGAAGTCACATGTTGGAAAGCCGAACTGGCAACTCTTTGAGTTCAATGCCTTGGTGCCCAAGTACAGTCAAGCTTTAGCCTTTGTTGCTGTGGCTCAGTTGGAGACTTGGGAATTCTCCCTGGAAAGCATGGAGGCACAGCAATCGTTGGAATCACCTCCGGCAATGCCCAGTTCCTCTCCCTTTGCAGCCGTAGCATCCGAGGAACGCTTGGAAGAGCTGGAGGATTTGGAGCTGCAAGCAGCTTTGTTGGCCAGCCAGGTGAGGAAATACGAGGGTCGTCTTACTCCCCGAAGCCTGTAGCTTTGGTCAAGATCACGGCCCTTGGACCCCTCCATGCATCTCAATCCTTTCCGATTAACCCCGAAACACGAATTCGATCGATCCGGCTTGTCTCCAAATCCTGGACCTGAGCAGTTGACGGTTGGTGACGTTGGCCGCCCCTTTGCTCAGGTGGACACAGAGGTTTCCGCGAACATGGACGAGGATGATTTGGAGCTGGCTCTTCGGTTGTCAATGGAAGCACTTCCTCAGGTGGTCTGCAACCGCTGGTCTCGGCGCAAGGCGGCGGCCAAAATAAGAGCTCGCTGGGAGCCTGGAGGAAGGGGATAGCACCAATGGACCAGATGTGTGTCTTTTGAAGGGGGGCAGGACCTCAATTATCCCCAACCAATGGTGTGCATGTGCATGATGTGATATCCCTTTTAATTTCAACCACCGGATCAAGAAGATATACACTCTTCCGGCGTGAAACAAGTGGATGAAAGTGGAGTTCACCACCTGCGACTGGTCCTCGGACTACAGGGTATTCCTTTCACTCGTGAGGTCTACAGAGTTTGGGTTTTAGATGCTTGCTGCTTTTTAAAGCAGCAAGAACCCAGAGCTTTGAGATGCTTTGAGTGGGGGCATGTCCTTCAATGTTGTTTGCCCGAAAGCATCCCCAACATTCCTTTGAGTCGTCAGTGGCTGCAGTACTCAGTCAGGCACCATCCCCACATAAAGAACCTCCTGCAAACCAACTCTGCAACTCGTGGCTGTGGGTCAAAACCGGGGCACCAGGGTTGACCACGAACAGAATGGCCTACGGAGCTCAACCTACTTGTACCAGAATTTAGGGCTCCAATGTGTTTTTCCCTACAGCCATGTGTCACCGGACCCAGCACGATCGATGATCTAAGCCCTAGGGCCCTAGGACTCCGGTCGTACCTCCTCAGAAGGCATGACTGGACCCGAACATGGCACCCGGTCCGCCAGTCCCACCTTTTCAGGTTCGGTACGCCTGAAGTTATAGGGAAGAACAAAAACAAGAGCCTCAACGAGCGGAGGCTCTTGTTCCTGGTCTCCAGCGCGCTTTTCGGCTTGAGCTTCCTCTCCCTCACTGAGGCGTCGACATGGTCCGTGGTGGTGTCGTGTCAGGGGCTTTCGGCCGACAAGACACGGCCGTAGATTACTCAAAAAAGGGTGGACATACGGCCACAGCTGTTTGGGGAGATTGATTTCCTCCCACATACAGGTGGAAAATGGTTTAGCCGGTCTTTTGAGGGAGTGCCGCATCCTTCCGGAGAACTACATCCGAAGCACGTTCGGGGGCACACAAGGCCCAGACACGACTAATGGGACTGCCATATATGCCGCCCCATTGACCCCCAAAACCACCCCAATGTATACTATAGTATACATAGATGGCATACATGGAGTGTCTGGGAGGGAAACCAGGAAGATGAAACGAGCTGGTGAGTATTTCGAGTGAGCTCTCGGGAGCTGGGGGCACACCATGCACGAGCTGGGGGCAGGTTAGTTGAAGCTCTATGACAAATGACGACGACACCAAGCCGCTTTGATGCGGTCTAAGGGATTCAGATTCCCTCAAGCAGTACGGGTTAAACACCACCAAAACACGGGTTGGATCGCAAGGTTTCAGTGGTGGAACCTGGTGGTCATGCTTGCAGGCACTCAAATCGGAGATTGGAATCTCACAATTCTGCCTTCCTTGACCGACGACCGCCGCTGACGGAGTTTTTCAGAATCACATGCACAAGAGATTTGATGATCGGATTCAAAAGAGAACTTCCCCTGATCGGTGATCCAACAACGGTTCAAGACTTCCCTTCTCCAGCATCATCCCGACTTGTGGTTTACTTATATATTATAAACTCTATGGATCGATCCACATACCTTCTGAGAAGGTGATTGGAGACTATTTATGTAGGCTTGGAGGGTCCAATTGCCTTGTGAGAAGGTATGTGGATCCATAGGGAAAGACCTTTAGAGACCCCCTGCGCTGCACAAGGAAAAAAGTCCATCCCAAAAAGCACCCGTGCGACTGACTGGTGCGACGACTTCGCTGGGAATGAGTGGACGCTTCGCCCCCCGAAGAGAGAGTCAGGGGATCCAGCCCTCATTCCCATCACAGATCGCACTGGTCAGGACATGGGTGGGTGTTGGTTCTTGTCTTTTTCATCCCTAAACCGCCGCTAAAGCCGGCTAGCCGCTGGCCGAGCCGAGGCCTTGTTGTACCTCGATGCGGCTCGTACGACGCCCAGCCTGGGGGATCCCTGGAAGACAGCGAAGTTGATGGTGAAAGATCTCATTTGGGAGGACCGTGAAGCGAACGACCGTCAACCAATGGATAAAGATGATCCTGTTGTTGTCCCACTGCCATTTTACTGGAGTTGATCATGCACAGAAACACTCAATGAGGTTTTCAGGACCAGGTTTTACTAGGGATTGGACCTGTAGGGGATGGTGACTTTTAAATGTCTTCACATCTTGCTCAAAGCTTCTCGGTTGAAATCTCCCAGTTCACTCCAGAATGCACCTGCTAAAGACTTGTTTTCTCCAACTTGAGGCAGGAATAACTTGTAGAATCTTGTAGACAACTTGTCATCCAGTGTGTCTCACATGTTTGATCATACCATCGACGGGTGAGGAAGGAGACTCCTGGTACGTCAGCGCCCACTCGGGTCCAGTCCGCCGAGCGATGACGATGGCAGACGGACTCGTAGCCAGGAACCGATAAAAAGCATAGGCCAGATGAATCCGGTGGGAGACCCTGCAAGAGAAGCCAGCTGAAGCCTCCCAACTTCACCTGTTTCAGGTCTTCAAGAGACCATCCATGGCACTAGAATGGTGACCTACATGAATGGATCATGTTCGTGGGGTGAATATAACTATTCCAGTCCCATGAATGGTCTGTGTTTTTCCTCGGATGTTCGGCCTTTTTGGGGGGGGTTCAGGTTTGGGAAGGTGCTTCCTGGAAGATGCTTCGGATGCTCCGGAAGCTCTCCTTTTCTGTGCTTTGCTTGAGGCCCCATGCAACAGAAAGTCTCCGCCCTGCTGTCCTTGCTGGAGTCTCAGTATTTCCATCCCATCCTGCGCGACGTCGCGCCATGCGAAGCTGTGCACCACGTCCAGTCCTGGGCGAGATTCATCCAGTGCAGCGATCCGAACTGCTGCAGACCTTGCATCGCTTTGGATGGTTGCAGAGATCTGCGGAGGTCGGAGGTCGAGTGCCCATGGCGTTGGTCTGTGTTGATGTTTTGAATGCATGTAGGCAATGACCAGGGTCATCCAATGGGTAGTCTATTGGACTACCCTACCCTACCTAAACAGGTCTCCATTGGAATGCATGACACGTTCTTCATCGGCAATCGTGACTGAACCTTCACTTCAGGACTGGTCCCCGAACCCGGCTCAGTAAGAAACGAAGAACATCTAGAATTCAACAAAGGATCTTCCCAGGGATTTTGCGCTGCTTTTTTTCAAGACTGTTTGAAAGATGATAGCGCCAGGTTTGGCGGTTTTTCCTGACTGAACCTGTCTCATCCCGTTCAATGCCTTGAAAAGGGTTCATATATTAAGCCAAAGGACTGAGTCCAAGTGAAGATTCCTCTGGTTTTTGCGGATCGATGTTTTAATCTTTTCGAGTGTAGTGCGACTTGCGGACAGTCCATGCCACAGCCCGGGTATGCCCCGCCCCATGTTGGGCTCTAAAAGTCGGCTTTCTCCCCTGGCTCACCCCTTCGCTGCCTCAGGTTCACCTCGGAGGGCTGAGTCGATCCATCGCAGGACGTGGTCCATCGTTCGATCTCACGCGAGCCAGCGCGCCGACGCGCCGGGCGCAGCCAGCGGTGGTGGAAGTGGTGTTGTTGTGACGAAACAAGAGTAGGTGCCTGGAACTCCTTGGCCACCTCCGTTGAGGTTAGCCGGATAGGCCAGGCTGGGTGGGGGGGGGGCGTGGTGCCCACCGAACGTGAAGAGATGGGCCAGGAGGTTTAGGGGAGGTGATGAAGTGGTGAACTTGTTTGTTTAATTCTGCAGAAGATCTGCAGAAGTTAGTAGAACTCTACCATGGAGTCTTTTTGCAGTTGGTTGGGCGATTTGGTCGTCCACTCCAAGCTTCGAGGTCTGATTTTCTTTGCGGATTGACGACGTGTATCCTCGTGTATCCTCGGTGAACGCTAACATGGCTGAAATAGGCAGTTCAATTGGAAAGGTGAAAAAACGGGTCGGGGACACAACATTGCTGCACTGCTTGGTCGGCCTGTCGCGCTGCCAGGAGATGATTTGCGCACTGAAGAGAGCAAGAAAAAAAAGGCTGTTGCTGCAACTTAGACAGATGAAGATACAAAGGATGTGTCTTGGAATAGGAGAGCCCTACTGGCAGCTGCAGGAAAGAAACATAAAGAAACACCAAGTCAACATAAGTCAACTATAAAATAATTCATGTTACAGTATGTTACAGTAAGCTACCTGTAGTTGGAAGTCTGAGACACGCCCCATACATCGTTGCAAGCAGCCTCATTGCTTGCGGTGAATGTCATTGAAGACACAGACATATCATGCTGCCAAGGAAGGCTCAGCTAAAACTGACACAAGAACGAGCTTGAAGGTGATAGTCTTAAGGAAAAGGACTGCAACTAACTACTGACATTGCCAATTCATGTCTAAAGTGACACCACTGAAATCACATCATTCCACTCAAGCGGTTTTGAACACAAACCATTAAAGAAACACCACGACGGTCAGACCGTGACACATGTTCACCTGGAACCCCATAGGATGGGTCCAACTTCTCAAGCCCAGAGGTGGATGCATGGACCCAAGGAGTACGGAACATGGGACAAGGCGGACAGAGAGGTGTCCCGCGCCTTTTCGCGATCCACCGCAAGGGGTGTGTCTCCGCTTCGTCACTTCGTGGTGTCGCGATGGAGACGAGCTGGCGAGATTTGTGGAAGAGCCAGAGTGAGCCTTGGACGAAGGTCATAGATGGCATAAAAACGATGCCAGAGTGAGCCAGAGTGAGCCTAGGTTTAAAAGCCAAGGCTTGGTATCTCTGGGCCCCCAAGTGGGTGCGCCATCAGCACGGTGACCACCGACATGACCTGGGAATCTACGCCCCAACCAACCACCGTGGGTCATGCAACCACCCACCCCAACTGATCAGCTGACATGCAACAGTTTTATGGAGTATTTGGGGGTAATAACATGTAAGAATATATTGCCGCAACGATCCATGACACTGTCATATTTGCCTGCATTGACCCTCAAAGCATCTCAAAAGCATCTCAATGGGTCATGGCATGGGTTGTCTAATGCATGGATTCTTTGGG